ACAGTGGGAGCCTCGACAAGTCGATCAAGGTGTGGCGAGTGTCTGAGATGGCGGCGGATCGGAACGCGTTGGCGATGATGCAGCAGCAGTTTGGGACGGACACGGAGTCGGCACCATCAGAAAGAAGCTTCTCTTCTTCCAACAGAGCCAGTATGAACAAACGGCTGTGAATGTGAATCGTCCGATCTTCCATTCTCCAACCATTTTGTGACATTTTCAAGTGTGTGGTTTCAGTTGACCCATGTGAACTCTCTGATGCAGCAAACTCACCTTCCGGCTTCATCCTCCTCTGTTGTATATTGTGGAACATTTAAAGGATCTAACCTCCACCTGTATCATTGCATTGATCATAAAAGCATACTAATCATATTTCGCATTAAATCCACTATTTTTTTTTCCAATCTCTTGCTACTTCCTACTTCCTACTTCCTACTTCATTCCAACCATGCATTTTTCTTTAACAAATATCAAATCTATTTGTCTCACAGTTTAAGCTTAAACTAGGCTTATATATATATTATCATTAATCACAACCAAATTCAAATACAATGGGAATTTTGAGATTCAATCTCTAAGCTGATCTAGGAGTTCCATATACCAATCAATTGTACAGGCATGAAAGACGCAATATTTCACATTTTACAAGTAGTACCTAATTTAGTGTGACTATAATCAGTTGAAGAAAAAAATGGGAGTGGAAGTGTAAAATTTCATACTTTTACTATTCAAAACTGAATCTCTTTTTTCTTTTTTTTTCTTTTTTTTTTCTCTCTTTTGGTTCATTGTGAGAGTGTACGAGTATGGCTTCTTCTTGCTTCGATTTGTTTGTGAGATGACAGACCATCCAAATGTGCACTTCTACAGCCGACTGGATCAAAGTCCAAACCAAGAGGAATGACTGGATCTCCTCCTTCTAGCACTCGGAGAATCTGTAGTAAAAGGATGCATCGGTTAACTACCATGTAGTAAACGTTTAATCGAAATTGATGATTAATAAACAAACCTTTGACATGGAGGGTCTTGATTCAGGATCTGGACATAGACACAGGGAAGCAGCACGGACCATCGCGTGTAATTGATAACAGAAGTCGGGGGATTGCTCGGAGGCCAAGCATGGATCTACCAAATGGTTACTACTAGCTAGTAAATGCTGAATTTGCAATGCAGAGATGGGGTTGAACCATTCGGTTATGAATTGTTTTCCCTCTAGACGGTGCAGCTCATAGCTTCTTCTACCACTTATCAACTCTAATAAAACCATTCCAAATGCATATACGTCCACTTTATGTGATACCATACCGCCATTGATGTACTCTGGTGCTAAATACCTGGTTTGAGAAGTAACTAAATGAATCCAATAGTAAGAAAAACTTATAGGTGTTTTTGATAAGTCTTTTGTTCTTTGTTCATGTTTGTTGGTGAATAGAGTTAATTTTTTTAAACGAAAAAATAAAAGATGAAATCATTATCAAATGGGTACTGAATCTTAACAAGTTGTATCTTTAGATATGACAGGATGCGGAGTAAATACCCTGAAGTTCCAATGACTTGCTCCTCAATACTGGTAGACCATTTAGAATGCCACCTTGCCAGCCCGAAATCAGCAACCTGATGGGATAATAGAGTGTGAGAGGAGTACAATTGGGGGGTAATCATCTTAGAATGAATTTAAACTATCATATGAAAGAATGGATGTTTCCCAAAAGAAAATAAATGCTTGAAGACTCAATAAACTTGATATCAAAATTCAAGGTACCAAGGGTTCAAAATCATGCGTCAGGAGGATATTGTGAGGTCGCATATCTCTATGCACTATACACCCAACTCTGCAGTCTTCGTGAAGATAGCGTAAACCCCGTGCTGCTCCTATTGCTATCTTTTGCCTTGAATGCCAATCTAACTGGCTTCCGTTTCCTGTCAATTTCTTCAACTTAGAAACTCCATGATTGAAACCTTGTAAATTTGAAGCAGCAATAACATGAACTCATGATAAACTAGAGAATATCAAGCAGATGAAACGACCTGATGACTTTTCTAGAGTAATATTGAGGAAGAAACGTTGAATTACTATACCATGTAAATGGAAATCCAATGAACCATTGCATATGTACTCATAAACCAATAACCTCATCATGCCCTCAATACAAAACCCAATCAGCAATACTACATTTCTGTGTTGTGCACAACTCAACACCCGAACTTCCCTGCAAAAATCAGCATCTGCCTGTAAGCCTCCACATTTTAACTGCTTCACAGCTACAACCTGACCGTCTCTCAAGATTCCCCTATGAACAATTCCGAACCCGCCTTCTGCCAAGAAGTTCATATCAGAAAATCTGTCAGTAGCTTCCTCAAGCTCTTTGAGAGAGAACTGTCTGGGAGGTTTTCCAAAAGCCGGCGTCTTGTGTTGACATATTGAGCACAGAGGAGGAGGTGCTGAGGATGCTCTGCCCAAAGAGACAGCATCTCGGATACTCGAGTCCACAATGTAGTCTTTTCTCTCAGACTGGTTGAGCCTGATATCTTCAAAAGTTATACTTTTCTCAAGATTCGTAGGATTGCTGAGTGGCACCTTAGGAGTTGAAGCAAATCTGAGGAATCTTCTTTTGGACTTGGATAAAGTTTTTCCATCAGAAATATTTTGATTCTGAGAAATCCAATAGACACATTTTTTATCTGAAGCCACAGATGTTCGAGGAGCCCTTGGTAGAGAGAGAACCTTTTCTTCCATTGAGTTGGATGAAGGTACTGAAATGCTTAAATCGTTATTCTCATTAATTGGCAAGTAATTTCCTTTTAAATTTCCTTCAAATAGAGGGTTTTGCTCATATACAAGGAAAATAGAGGACACTGCATCAGTACCCAATTTTGCTCCTTCTTTTGAGGATTTTCTGAATGAGGCACGAGATTCTTCTTCTTGTCTGCTTGCTAGTGGAGTTGTCTGCTTCATCCTATTTTGTTGCCCTTTTCGAACAGGAGAAGAGTTAGCAGAAAAGAAAGGAGTTTGAGGTTCACTCCAGCACTCCAAATTAAGCCTGAGAACTTTCGGTTGAGACCCTTTCATTGTAACAATATTGCAGCTTAGTTCTTCCATGCAATGCTTCACCTCATTCTTCAATTTCCTGGTAAACAATCAGCTATGACATCAAATCTTGAAACTTTGTTTATTTTAGCATAATCATCATCTCATTGGTAAAAATAACAGGGTCAAACAAGAAGTTAAAGAGGTAGTGTAGGAACTCATGATCCAACAAAAAAGAACAAAGAGGAAAAAAAATCGCATTCAACAATAATTACGTAGCACTCTGTAAAATGGGATATCAAACAACCGAATCCCCAATTAAAAATCAACCGAGTCCAGATAATAAATTTAATACTTTGGATAAGGTTCATGAGTAATTAATTGTTCAATGGGTAATATTTTTCTATTCAAATATAAGCTATGAATGCAAATCTCGCATGAACATTTAAAATTAGTTTCAAAAGAATGTTTATGAAAAGCAGCAGAACAAACTTCACAGACAACTTTCTGATTTACCAGGTTATAAAAAATTATGTTTAAAAGCACGACCAAGTGGTCCACTCGCATGTGAAGATCACAAGTCATAAAATCACAAATAAACATTTTGATGGTAAATTACCTGTCTAGTACGACCCAGTTAACTCCTTTTAACTTGGCTTCAGAAGCTACAGCTCCTCCCTGGGTTCCCGTGACCACTTTAATCCTTACTTGAACCTGAAACCAATGGTACAACATAGTTCCACGATCACTTGTTTTGGTGGACAACTATCACACAGGCGTGCTAGCTATATAAAAGATTGATGGATTATGATAGTCTTCCCAATGGCATTCATTATAACTCATTACAATTATCATCCTACACTACAATGTAGTCATCAACATCATTATTCCTTTTAATTACACAGATCCAAAATTCAGTGACACTACCAAGAAAGCAAAGAAACTAAATATATGACGTGAACTCAATTTCATAGCTACAAAAACTATCAGAAGTACGAACATGGTGGCTTCTTTTAGGGTCCTCGCTACCAAAACAAGCAACAGAGTTTAATTATGTGAGGAAAGCATAACCCCATCGAAGAAGCTGTAAAGAAGAGGAAGAAAAGAGGGGGAAAAAGAAAAAGAAAAAGAAAAAGAAATCTTTCTTCCCCCACTGTGTCTTCTTCGAGAGGTCCAGTGGTCCCAAACAAACAGGTCGGAGACATGTGGTACTGGTCTTCCAACCTGGCCCTTCAATCATTCACCTAATTAGTGTTCCCCTGAAAACAAATACAGGGCCCCGGAATCTTCTAAAATCCAATCGCACGATGATCTAGCCACAAGGTAAATCAGAAAAGTTTCATTTTTTGGTTCGTAAATGAGACAAAGACAACTAGATAAGTGACAACGTGGCCCCAAAAATGGCCAAGCCAAACGATGTCGTTTTAGTCCAGTGAAAATAGTCAATGCCCCACAAATGGCTCCCAGACCCCAGTGGCATTTTAGTAAAAAGGAAAAAAAAGGCAAAATTACCTCAACTTGATTGTGGAAATGAAGCACCATCTGGGAACAAGACTCTGAGATCTCGTGTACCCGATCCGGCAGATTTTCTTCAACAGCATTCGCACAGTCCCCGCTCCATCTGTGAAAATTCCAGAATCTCCGACCTGTACACAACATTCACACAACCTTAATTTGAAATTGGAGAAGGAAAACTTAATTTCAGAGAGAATCCATCATCCAAATCCGAATTAATTGCAGAATTACCAGTTTTCTCGACGGAGAAGACGGCGAGTAGCGTTATACAGTTTCCGGGACGGACTACATGAGTAAGAGCCCAAGCCAGTGCAGATTTGGATATCACTCTCTCGGCCTTGACGGCGACGAGAACCTTATCCGGCGACGTTTTGGCACCGGGAGCCTCCTTCAAACCAGCTTCGGCTTGGCTCGGGAACATTTCGAAAGCCAAGTCCCGAACGTCTTTGGTAAACGCCAATGCTTTTGAGAACATGAGGAGCGTGGAAAAATGGATGTATCGACAAGCGCCAACGTCATGCGGTAGTTGTGACGATGATCCTCAACCAACTACAGTCAAGGGCAAAATGGTAATCGAACATTGCACTCAAATTAATCAATCAATTAAATGGAGACTTCTGATACTTCCTTCATTTTGGTATCTTAATCGTGCAATTAACTTCTAAACAATTCTATATCTCAAGTCTCAATTCGAAGTTTCAATTAGAATCCTGTGAGATTAATCGAACTCTATGAAGCTTGGTTTTCATTATCGTGATCGTTTGATTGATCAACCAAGTCACAAAATAAGTGATGGAATCCAGAACAGATGAATCAAATTGGAAGAAAAGACGTATACCTGGTAGAATAATCGGCTGCAGTTGCTCCACGCGGTTGACCTTCAAAACCGGCGTGATGAAGAGAAAGAGTGGGAATGCATTGGAACACGAGTTGGTGATCGCTGAAAAACGGAGAGAATTGTTGTGCTGAGGGAAGGAATCGACGGCCGGCGCCGCTTTTATCGAGAGAGAATGAGAAACAGAGAGATCTCTGCTTCCAAGCGCTTCAACGAGTGTGAAGAAGCGTTTTGCGTCGTGGCGGTCCTGCTGCCGTTGAATGTCTTTAAATAGGACATGAAAAATATAGAGAGATTGAAACTTACAAAAAGAGGGATGTTAGTAATGGAACTGGCCGTTTTTTTACCGGGAGATTAGTATTCACACATATGTTTCTTAATCCGTTTACGTTCAGATTGACTTGTCCTATACTTCAATAAAAAGAATTTTAGTTTTATAATTTAAAACTTAAATTTGTAAATAATGTATGTTTAGTACAACACGTTCGAGAGGAGATTCAAACTCACAACCTGTTGATTGGAGGTATATGTTAATTACTGCTGACCTATACTCGCTTTGAATGTTTAGTTGGTAGAGTGATTTGTAAAAACAATAATATAACTTCAATGGTAAGTTTTATACCAGGTTTGTTCATGGTCAGAAATACAGTAAAATGACATTTTCTATTATTTTTCTTGTAATTTTAAAAGATATTCACTCCTTACGATATCTCATATACGTATAGGAGCATGTATAGTAAACAAATAAAATGAAAATAAAAAAGGAAAAAAAAGTTGAAAACATAAATAATTGATGTCGTAATTGATTAGGTTATATATTCACAACCAGCATATCTACAATTTAAGATAATTATGTAATCCAATTTAAGATAATTATATATCAATCTAGATTCAAATCAAAGGTTACTTCTAAACTTAGCTATTTTTTTTTTTATTGTAAACTTTTAACTTCATCAAAACTATTAGCTTAAATAAAATTTCAATTTCAATTAATTTAACCACTAATTTTAATGCAAAAAGAAAAAAATATATAAAAGTCACTAATTTAAATAAAATCAAGCTTTGTACAAAAACATGTTTACCCAATGTAGAAAACAGGCCAGATGTATAATTAGGTTAAAATTCGCCAATTTTGAATAAAAAGTAAATTATAATATTTTTTCCCCTAAATTCTATTAATTTCTTACCCGACCTTTATTTAATGCACACAAGAATCTTTTATTAGCGATCATTCGAATGAAAACTTGTTATAAGGTAAATTGCACTACTTTACTACCAACATGAGCATAAATCTGGTACAATTTGACGAAATTGGAACATTATTGTAAAAATTGATACATCTGGTTAAATTCACGATAAAAATAGATTCTTTTTCCATAAATTTAATTTGTAAGTCCTAGACTAATTAATATATTTTATTTTTCTTTCAATTCCACCAATAAAAAATCGAAATTTTTATTGTATTGAAGATAATAGTACTTTTATCCATTCTGTTTGAAATTTGAAAATTGGAGGATGATGTGCTCATTTATAATAAAAAGTCAATGCAAAAGGAACACAAATAAAGTGAGTGAAATTTGGACGTGAATTTGAAAACTCGAGGAGGCAAAGAATGACATGTCACTGGGGACCGCCGCCGGTGCCAATGGAGCCTTCTTTTCACCGTCTCCGATGCCTCATTGACCAAATTTAAATACACAAACTTTTCTTTTTCTTGTTTTCTGTATTATGCTTTGGAAACCATTTCATGTGATGATTGCCAAATAAACAAACAACAAATTTGATAGGAATTACGACTTTATTGGGAATTGAAACTGTCGATTGAAGGATTAGACGAGTCCCACAAAAAAAGAGACACGAAGCATTGTCCACAAAACTTGGGATTTGGACAAATAATGAAAAAAAAAAGAAGAAGAATCATTTGAGAATGGTAAATTGGTATTGACAAATTCAATGGTATCCCCCAGCTGAAATGGACCACTTTCATCATTTATGAGAACCATAGTCCATTCTCCCATTTAATTCTACAAAGAGAATATAGTGTTTATGATTTTGATTTTTTATATTTGTGATATTTTAGATACACCCTATTATTGATGAACTCAATATATATATATATATATATATATATATATATATATTGTTATTACATTTTTGTGTTGTATTTAATAAAATTATTTGGTGGATCGTTACTATTCCATCTAAAAATAGGTGGAATTATGTCATGCAAAGTTCTTTTACAGATATATATAAAATCAGATTTCAAATGAATTAAATTTTTCTTGAAATTTAAATAATTTTTTTAAATAAAAGGACTAATAAATTAAAACAAAGTTAAGTTGGGAGGAAGGGTAAGAAATCTACGGGAAGAGGGAAAATGAATTGAATGGAAAGAGGAAGGAAATTATGGAAAAGCAAAATGAAAAATAATATTTATAAATTTGAATCTTCGATCTCATAGAAAGTAATAGATGTCTTGACTACTAAACTACGGAACAAAACAACATATTTTTTAATTGAATTGGGTTCAAGCTTTTTCCAACTCCTTGGATGATCCGATTGAATATTAATAAAGAGCATTTGATTATTTCATGGGCTGGTTTGGGTCATACTCAAGTAGTTACATGAAATAAAGGAGTTCCCACTTTCAAATTCTATAAAACCCCCAACTACTCTTTACTCAAGTTCTCAATTAAGACCAAACAACATTTCATTTATTCTTTTTCTTTTTTATTTTAATTTTCTGAGTTCTTTATTCAATATATCAATTACAACATAAAAAAAATAAATGTGAAATTTTTGAGTAGTCTATTTCCCTTTCCCTTTTTTACGTCCCCATGTCCCTCCCGTGTGGCGACATGGGGGCGAAGATTATAAAATTGGGTTAAGAAAATGTAATTTCCTAATTACTTCTATTTTTGGACAATATTCTGTATTTACAGAATTAAAAGAATACCATCACCATAGATATTATTTGATTGTTTTCAATTTCGTTCTTAAACAGGTTTGGTTTTGATTGGTTCCACGCTCAGTTTTTCAACACTCACATTACTTTTTGACTAATTGCAATTTTAATATATAGGTAAATTAACATATACAGTTTATATATTTCAAAAGCGAAATAAAAAATTTGTAGGTTAGGAAAAAAAAATTCAAACGAATCCTCTTAATTTAAATAGACAGCAACTTTGTGGGAAGAAAAAAGAAGAGAGAGATTTTCAAAATAAAGGCAATTGGGAAGGAAAAGTCAGCAAATTTGGAGAAGTGGGCCTTCAAAGTGAAGATCAGAGAAGAGGCAAAGGCGTACGGCGTCGTTTGGGGTAAAGCACTCGTAGGTCCAAGCTTTGTTTTTTTGTCTTACCTTATTTTGAGTCCTTTCAAATGTTTATGAATTTTAAGTTGTTTGGTACTTCAGGGTTTATGAATGATTTCGAATCTTATTTGATTTCAAATTTTGTTAAAGATTAAAACACGCCAATAAGACTAAAAATTTAAACTAATGGATGAGGTAAAGTTAAATTTAATTTACTTATGGGAGCTTTTGCTGTCAAATCACCGATTATACCCTTACATACATGATTACCAGATACCCTGAAGAGGCACATTGCATTACTTGTATGCTTCTAGTTGGAATCTTGTTAAAATTGGGAGCATATGGATTGGTTCGGATCAATATGGAATTATTACCCTACGTCCATTCTATCTTTTCACCCGGCTTCAATACCTCCGAGTCAATGCAATTCAAAGAAAAAAGAATAGCTTATTCCTTCATCTCTCATATAGGTTTCATAATTATAGGAATTGGTTGTATAAGCGAGACGGAACTCAGTGGAACTATTTTACGAATAATCTCTCGTGGATTTATTTTCGCAGCACAAGATAAAAAAATTTTAAATAATTTTCCAAATTAAATCACCAAGTTAAAATCTAACAAAAGATACTAGAGAGAGAGAGAAAAAAAAGTGTTGAATAAGGCTCTCTCTCGAAAGAAACAAAATAGGCTTTTCGGTATTGGACGGAATACGGATGTTTCCTGGGTCTTTTATTTTTTATTTCAAAAATTTTGAAAAAAATAATTATTTAGAAACGTTTGTATATATTTTTGTTTCTTATTTATTTCAACTTTGTAGAAACGTTTATAAAAGTGCTAATTTTTTTACCTAGAAATTTTGCATAAAAATATTAACCAAATAAAGATGACGCAGTGGTTCAGAATAATTTACGTGAAAATGTTCAAGTAAATTTTATTTTATTTTATAATTTAAAATATAAAATAAAGTAAAATAGAATAAAATATTGAAAGGTTCTAGATGCGAACTCGCTTCCCACATTCAATGTTTCTAAAGATGAGAATTGGAGGGTTATATCATAGTTGAAAATGAGAGGCTAATACGAGGAGGAAAACATGAATCAATCTTGTTAGACCAGAACCAAAAAAATTGATAGTTGATTTTTTTAAATATTTATTTTCAAATATTTAATGATATTTGGGATAAAATTGGTCTTTAACTAGTGAGGAGTTTAAAAAAATTATATAAAAACCATTAGTTTTAATTTATAAGGGTTTATTTTATATTAAAAAAATCATTTTCATAGCTCAAGAGATTAAATTCTACACCTTTAGCAACTATTCAGATTTCGAAGGTGCAATTTAGATTCTAGTAAGCCAAATCTTGAAGAAATGTTGAAAATTATTGCTGGGAAAGTGGTAATACTCGGCGATTATCATGACATTTTCTTTTCTTTTTCTTTCCTGGTATGTTTTTTCTTCAAAAGAGAAAAAAACCACCTTATTAGTTAAAGATAAAGATCAAATCTTGTCGTTATCACAAGTTTTTTTTAATACAACATGTGAGATGGAGATCAAACTCCTAATTTCTTAGTTGGAGATAATATATCAATTACCGTTAAGTTATGTTCGTTTTGACTTATATTTCATAAGTTAAAATTCTATAAAGTTAAATTTGAATTTTACGTGAACTAATTAAAAAAATTGTATTTTATACAAATACCATGACAGTGATAACTTGATAAAACTTTTGATTAATATTATAAATTATTATTATTATCTGCACGAAATTTAGAGTTTATAGCACATTACCCTTTTCAAGATACAAATTACACCGACCTTATCTCCTTGCAATAATTTCTCAAAAAACTTAAAACTTTAAAATTTAAAAAATAAATCAACAACTAATTCTTGTAAATTCGAGTCTACTTGTTGGAATTATTATTTGAAAATCCTGGAAAAGTTTAGTTCAATAATTCAT